ATATATATATATATATATATATATATATATATATATATATATATATACATATATATACACAGTGGGGTATGCTATAACGAACGGATTCTACTACGAATATTCCTATAACGAACGGTTTTACCTATAAAATTGAGAATGCTATAACGAACGCAACTCCTACAACGAACGCGGATGAATACGGGACTATTTCGTCTGGCGCATGAATATTGTTGTACCGCGGCTCACAACAAGAGCGTCAGGCGCCATATTGGTTCATTGTGTAGTCAGTGCACCACTGAACTTGTTGAAATTTCGTCTTTTGATGTGGAAATTCGTGTTATTTTATAACTATTTTGTTATACAAGTGTACAATTGTAACAATGAATCGTCAAAAGTGAGTGAGAAAGCTTATAACCCTTGAAACTAAGAAAAAAATAATAAAGAAACAGACAAAGTGCCTGTAAGACAGTCACCAAAGAGGGCTAGGAAGGATGACTCCTCTCCTTCCACCTCTTCTCCATAATTCTCTCCTCCCCCCTCCTCCTGTCCTGCATGCTAACAACACTAAGGTAAGATAAAGTACCGTATTTTTTACAATTTCCACAGAAATTTTTCAGTGTTAAGTGGTTGTATTTGAGGGCCTGGAACGGATTAATCCCATAACGAACGAATGCTATAACGAACAAGGTTCTAGAACCAATTAGATTCGTTATAGCATACCCCACTGTATATATATATATATATATATATATATATATATATATATATATATATATATATATATATATATATATATATATATATATATATATATATATATATATATATATATATATATATAATATATATATATATATATATATATATATATATATATATATATATATATATATATATATATATATATATATATATATATATATATATATATATATATATATGCACTGTGGGTGCGCTGATCTAGGTATATGCTGATAACCACAAGGAAAGAAGAAAACACGAAGTTCCCAAGCGCTTTCGTGTAATTCACATCTTCAGGGGTGAGTACAGACTAAAGAGAAATACAAACCAAGGTGTATATATACAGAGGAGGGTGAGACCAGGTCCACAATGGTCAGGTATTAGGTAATGACCCTTCTAATCTTTAAATAGCACACAACGGTTGGTGGTCAGGTCAGATGGTAAGGTGACCCGACCTTCTCACCTGGTTACAAATCTTCTTAATTACAAAATTGTCCAGTTTGTACATGCCATTACTCAAATTCATGTTGAATGCTTCGGTATGTTATTAAACATACGTGCGGTCAGCCAGTGGACATTTAGCTTGGTCATGTCCATGCTCTTGTAGGCGTGCGGCTTGCGGGCTGTGTGGATCACCGATAACTTGAGCTTACAGGTACCGGAGGCATTGGTGGTAAACAGGACGGTGATGCGCTCCTTCTGCAACTTCCAGCCCCGAATCTTGCTGGCATTCTTCACAACGAAGGTCTTGGAAGGTAGCTTTTTCCAAAAAAGACCAGATTCGTCCATGTTAAACACCTGGTCGTCGGTGTACTGTCCTTCCTCCATAATCTCACGTAAAAACAGAGGAAATTCCCTAGCCGCAGCACGGTCAGCACTAGCTTCTTCACCACCAATGTTTATATTGGTGATCTTGTTCCGCATCTTAAACCTCTGTAACCACCCAGAGGAAGCATTAAAGGGTTTGGGCTCTGTAATTCCCATCTTTCGTGACACTGCAGCATACAGTTCACGTGCGTACTCCTTAACTGAGCGCGTGTCTACTGCCATGTTCCGTCGCGCCTGACGCACCAAGTACCTCACAAGTAATTTTTCTGTCTTGAGAAGCACCTCGTTGTGGCAATACTTGATCATAGAAGCACCTGTAGACTTTGTGATGTTCATGTGCTGCTTTATCTTGGCTGCATCCTTCTTAATTGTCCTGATCGTAGACTCGTTAACACCATGCTGGCGCGCGAGATCAACCTGTCTTGTTCCTTCCTCGAACTCTTGTATGATCTTATACTTAATTTCGTAGTTTAAGGAACGTCGTGTCTTCTTTGGCTTAGGGCGGCTGGATCCAGGTAAGGAAAGGTTTCTCTCTGGGGGCGGTGGTCCAGCGGAAGCCATTTTACAGAACAATGGATTCACGTATACACGGTGTGGCCTGGAGGGATGAAACTGCCGCAGCTAGGTCAAGCGTCATCTTTCCTCCCTCCCTCCCACGGGTGGACATGTCATATTACTTTAAACCAATCACAGCTAGCAGCGGAGGGAGGTAAGGATGCATGGCCTAATTACAGTCCGATACGTCATATGACGTCACTGATAATGCAACAAAGACACACACTGCGCAACCTTACAGCGGCTTGCGGAGGAGGGAGGGAGGGCGGGTGGGGCAAATCTAAAAATAGCGTCGAGCGGACACTCAGCATAAGGGGTACACGCACAGCGGAATGTGAGCATCCTGGGTTCGGCAGCGGGTACCAGCGTAAGCGTGGAAGCGGAATGTGGGACACGTAAAGTGCACGCCGCCGCCGCGCGCCGCGCCGCCCGCGCCGCGCGCCGCCCCCGCACGCCCAAACCGCGCACACACACACACACACACACACACACACACACACACACACACATACATACATACATACATACATACATACTCATACATACCCATATTAATATAATATATATATATATATATATAAATATATATATATATATATATATATATATATATATAATAATATATATATATATATATATATATATATATATATATATATATATATTATATATTATATATATATATATATTATATATATATATATTATTATGTATTATATATATATATATATATATATATATATATATATATATATATATATATATATACTATATATATGTATATATATGTATATATATATATATATGTATATATATATATATATATATATATATATATATATATATATATATATATATATATATATATATATATATATATATATATATATATACAGTCATGTACAGTTAACGTCTAGATACGTTCTTGGAAATGTGGCGTTAACTGAAATGGACGTTGTCGATCATCACAAACTTTATTTATACTTACATGTATGTGGAATACTATATGCATTACATATACACTTTTACTCTTAAATCACTACTGTAATGTGATACAGGTGATTAATTTTTATCTCTTGTGCAAAATACATGACGTTTATATTAAAATTATTCACTGTTTTACAAGGATTCCAGCAATGCTGGGCAGATGGGGGAGAGAGGGAGGAGGCGAGCAAGCGTGGGGCGGAGCGCCCAAGGTCCTACTTATTTATCAGTTCTTAAGTGGACTAAGCTTCTCTCATAAAAAGCCAGTGAAATGACCTGGGTGAATATAATTTACATTGCTGGGATTCTTGTAAGATAGTGATTAATTTGAATATAAACATGCTATAATTTGCACTAGACATAACAATTTTAGTACTGTAATCAAATTAGTATATGTACACTCCAGCTTTGGACTAAGGTCATTTATTTCTTTGGCGTTTCTTTTAGTATGCTGTGTGCATGTAAATGGATGAAAATAAATGAAGAAATTTATGTAAATCTGCCCAAAAATACAGTTGAAAAACTTTATATTATAAAATGTACACTAATGTACTATTATATTAATCTCTTGAGCAAAATATAGTTTATATTCAAATTAATCTCTGCCTTGCAAGGATTTCAGCAATGCAAATTAAATTCTCCTACAGTCTGAGATATTATATGAATAACTTAAGGCCTAAAACCTGCGTGGGGGGGAGGGCGAGGTGAGGCGATATGATTTGACAGTTGGCGCTGAAGGCCTGCCTGAGTGTTTATTTATCATTCCTTAAGAGTGACTAAGCTCTTTTCATAATTTGCCACCTAAATGACCTGGGTGAATATAACTTACATTGCTGGGATTCTTGTAAGATAGTGATATACTTGAATACCTGTATAAACAAGCTATATTTGCAATAAACATAACAATTTTAGTACATGTACAGTACAGGTTTGCACTTAGGTCCATTATTAACCGAGGGACCACTGTATTGCAGTGTACTTGTACTGTACAATATTGAATAAATTCACTGAACAACATTACACAACTAATGGTTGGTAAAACTTGTCAAGTAAGTGAGTGTCAAGTCTGTCAGTATGAGTGGCACATGTGAGTGCTTGTGTCCCCATCATAGGAGTCCGTTTTCTCTGCTTCAGGACCCTGAGCCCTCCGTTTCTCTCTTAATCTTAGAGTGCACCAGAGACTTCGTTATTCCTTAGTAATGACACAAAATTTGAAATTGCAACCCCAAGTGCAACTGGGGTTGCAATTGTAACAACTAGATATGTCTGATTTCAGCAAATATGTTATTATCAATTTGTAAGTAAAGAGTTTATCCTCAATAGATGTAGGTTAACATTATACCTGGAGGCAAATGCTTACTGAAGCCTAAGGAAGGATGTTCCTTTAGCACATAATATCTGGCCAGTATGGGAAGAATCATCGTGTCTCCGTCAGGGGGTCGTGGAGTGGTGGTCCAGCAGGCGTCACGGAAGGTTTTTTTTTGGGGAGCGCAAGACGTATATATGCGATTGGGCGTTGTTCGGTTGGGCGTTAACCAGCGCATGACTGTGTGTGTGTGTGTGTGTGTGTGTGTGTGTGTGTGTGTGTGTATGTATGTGTGTATGTATGTATGTATGTATATATGTATATATATATATATATATATATATATATATATATATATATATATATATATATATATATATATATATATATATATATATATATATATATATATATATATATATATAATATATATATATATATATATATATATATATATATATATATATATAAAATATATATATATATATATATAAATATATATATATATATAAAAAAAAAATATATATATATATATATATATATATATATATATATATATATATATATATATATATCTTTTTTTCATCATTTACATTTCCCATCATACCTTAGTAATACCTAGACCTTTTCTTGTGACAGAGGATGCAGATAAAGAGGAATGAGTGACACGTCGGTGCAGTCTCTCCACCTCAGGGTCATCCACTATCAACTTACAAGGAAATTCAGTTCCACGCTGAAAGAACATGATATCTGGACACAACCGTCTGCAAGAGAAAATAAGAAAAGTCTAACAGGAGACTTTATAGTAAATTTCTTACTAAGAAACACTACAATACACTATTGTCCATTTAATGATTACGTGAATGTAGCGATTATCTGCCTGAAACGAACAAAATAAGGAATATACCCTGTATATATATAATAGAGCTACAGGTAATCCTGTGACAACATAAGTCTGAAGATAATTGTGATATAATGAAACTCTTCATGAGGTTGTTAGGATGACAACAAATTCCCTTGAGAAACAGTGACAAAAATGCCTAAAACAAGACCTTTTGAGTTCATGAGAAAATTACAGGATACAGTATAGCAAAAGCCTTTATCAATGAATGGAAAAAAAAGAGGCTCTGTTCATCCCATTTTTGAACTTGGAGTAGTAATGGAAAACTTGTGAGAACAGTAAGACTGTAAATGCCTTGACTGAAGTGTCTGGAGAGGGAAGAGGGATTTTATGAGGATACCTTTCTCTCAACCTAAGTTATTATTTTCATTTCAAATGGTATTTACTGCAGATACACACCTGACATCCTTGTCTATCTGTGTTAAGACTTCATTATCCTTAAAAAAAGAGCCCACTGAGAATCTGGGTTGGGGTTGAGGGGATGATCAGCTACATGGTCGTTTCCGCTACCATTCTTACTCAGTCGGGCTGGACTCACAACCATCTCCTCTGCAAAAATCACATTGATGTTATGATTCACCTCAATGCTTTAGCATGAAAAAATATACAATTTATACAAGTCCTTCTACCTCTCATCTTTTTAATCTTTGCACCTCACGAAAATGCAAATCCTCAAACCAGTGTGCAGATTAGCAGTGCCAGGCAGCCTGGATGTGCCCAGGCTAGGGGTCAGATGTTTTTTCATGCCTGTGTGCCTGTTAATTGCCCAGTGAGGTCTGTCAACCAGCAAGGTGATGGGAGAGGGGGAGGCTGTTTGTGTGTGTGTGCTTGTTATGAGGTCATAACCTAATGTCACATCTAAGCTGATTCCTAACTTTCTGTTCCACAATGACCTGACCTAAGAAATCCCAGCCACATACTACAGCCACAGTGAAGTCACAGCTGGTCCCTCCAATTTCTATTGGTCTATTCTCACAATAACCTGACCTGAAACTCTTTAAAAAAAAAAGTTCCCACTGACTGCTTCATAAGCAGAGTTGCACCACAAATTGAAGTAAAAATTTCAACATGATTAAGAAGAAAGGAAAATTGACTGGCTTCTTCAAAATCCACTGGTTGGAGACAGTTTAGGTTAAAGGAATTTAGAGACAAAACTGATCTGTGAGTTGATACACACCAAAAATTTGAATTTTGTAGAATGCTTATTTAACATTTCCTGTAAAAAGGGGGCCCCAGGGGCATGCAATTTCCTAAAAAACATATTGTCAAGGCCAGTAAAAAAAGATATCCAGGCAAGTAAATGTTCTACATATCATAATCTGCTCAGCCTACCCCAAACACATATCACTTCTTTGATATGTCCGCCAGCTCTTCAAGTGTTTGGCAAATACCATATACAGTATTACCGCTACTTGGCGGTTTCACTTAGCGTTTATCATATCGCGGTGCCTGCAGGCTGAACTTTCATAACGCAGTTTTTCCACATATGCAGGTGAGTGTCGGCTCGAGCGCTATTTTTAGATTTGCC